CCWCTGCCCACTGYCCTTCCCCCCGTACCTCCGAAGTCAGGCCTGAGGCGGACGTCATAGCCCTTCAGCAGTTTGTCCACAATCTCTTTCACCACAGAAATATTTCCAGTGGAGGGGCTGAAAGACAAAAGCAGAGAGTTCTGTCATTCTGCGTGGCACCAGGGGTCCTGGCCAGGTACCCCCGGGGCACCAGGACACCCCAGCATGGGCTCTGCCCCCCTGTTTCCTTTCCCATTGGTGATTTCTGCCCTTGGCACAGCTCTCAGCCCTGCCCACGAGCCCCACACAGCCCCTACCCRCACCCCCAAGCCATCCTGGGAGCTGCTCAGGAGTCTCAGCAGTATTTTGGCCCCTCTTCTGCAGCTCACCCCGACTCCAGGGTACCCAAACTCTGTCCCCTGTACCCCCTCCTGGTGTAGGCACCCTGGGGCTCCTGCTGCTGCACCCCTCCATGAGAATGGCCCTCTGGCCACTGACCCACACACCTAGGGTGTTTCCCTGTGCCCTGCCCGCAGAGGGGAGCACAGACACACTCAGAGGCAGAAATCACCCTTTCTGTTCCCCCAGGCTGTGGTGGGGCAGCTGCAGCCTCTCCCTTGCAGGGCTGGCTCCCCTCCCTCTCGCTCCAGGTCTTGCATCACCCAGCACAGGCCTGGCATGTCCCAAKGTCCCCCCTGCACAAGTGGCCCCCAGCGGGCTCCCTGCACTGCCACACAGCCCAGTGCAACCTCTGCTCCTCGCTGCACCCGGGGCTTTTTGCACATTATTGAGGCACACGGGAAAACAATGCTCCTTTTTTTCCTGTGGCCTCAATACATGGCTGATCTTTGCCCTGTAAAAATTCAGTTTCTGTCACTCAGCATCACYGTGACTTCTTAGCAACGCAGATCAAGAGGCAGAGGCAGGGAAGGAGAGTCCATCTTTCCCTCTGTGTGCCAGAGCAGCAATCCTGTCCCTCCCAACCCTTTAACCTGCACGCAGAGGGGGCAGGTGCCCTCCCTAACACCAACCCAGCCATTACAGCAAGAAGGGAGTTCCTTTAAAAACCAGCCCAAGAGCCAAACCAAAACCGAAGGTGGGGAACCAGAAAGCAGGGGATGCTAAAAATACGGGACCTATTGAGTGCTGCGGGGTGTACCAGGTTTTGTGCCTGAATACCCAGCCTCTGTGCCACCCTCGTCCCCTGCTTTGCATGAGAATAGAGACCCTGCCGCTGACAACTGCTGCTCTGTGCAGTCACCCACCACAACAGCATGTCTCCCTGTCAACACCGCCTCCCACATCCATCCAAGTCAGCCTGGAAAGCTGCACCACGGCGCTGCCTCTGCCTGCCAGCCCCGTGCCTGGCTGGACAGCGGGGCTGGCGCTGGCGTGGCCGCGTGTGTGCACGCAGAGACGGACACACAGACAGACAGACGGACAGACAGACAGACGGGCTCCCCTGGCTCTAGGGAGGGTGGAGGGACTCCCTGCCTGTGCACTCAGACACACGGACACAGGAAAGCACTGGCTGCAGCTCTGACACATGCACAGCTGTGTGTGACCACATCCCAGCCAGGGGCTGGAGGTGCCTGGAGGTGACAGTGGGTGCAGCCCTTGCTCTGCTGGGTTGTGCTGAGATGCTGGGCTGTGTGGACACCATGTGTGATGAGCACAGAAGCAGGCATTTATGGGTTCCCGAGGCTCAGTTTCAGGGTGCCCAGACTCTTCCCTGCGTGCAGGATCACTGGGGAGCCTGGRCAGATCTCAGGGCTCTGGGTGTGCGGGGATTTCTCAGCAGGACAGGGATGTGCAAATGTGAGACAGCGTCCAGGTCCAGCTGTGGTTCATGGACAGCCAACGAGCCCYTGTGCTGGCAGGGGAAGGGGGCTGAGCTCCATTCCTGAGTGTGCTCCTGAGAGGGGCACAGCCCTTCCTTGCACAGCTTTAATCACAGTGAAAAGGCCGAGGGGCGTGTGCAGGTGGGCATTTTCACACCACCCTGTCTGCGCTTGCACCTGTGGATTTCTCTGCAGGTGAGTGAGTTCTGCAGCACACAAAACACGGTCCTGTCGCTGTGGATTGAAGGTTGTGCACCAGCATTTGTTCCTCTCTAGACAGCCATTCCCAGGTACACAGATTTCCACGTGCATAATATGGACACTGTGCGTTTCTCAAGGGATTTGGACATCTCTGTTTGCCTTGCCCCAGTATATAAACCCAGGAATCTGTGTTATCTCCTTCGCAGAGGCAGGGAAATTGAGATGGAGACAGTAAACAATGTGTCAGGGCCCTGAGGAAAAGGGCAGAGTTGGAAGAGGGCTATGGGGACTCCTTCCCCCTCACCAGCTACAAGTTGGCCTAGTGAGGGAATAAACCAACATCATGATTAAGGACAAGGTCTTTGCCTCCCCAGTGCTCCCTTCGATCCCAAAAGCCCCATCCCTGGCACTGAAGAGGCGAGTCGTGCGTTCGCCCAGCTGTGGGCGAGCACCTGCATGTCAGCGCTATTCCTGGCAAATGTGGGTCTGCATCCGCTCGGGGAGCACGTACATGCAGCCTGTGAACTGAATTCCGGAGTGCCGTGTCCCTGATTCTGTGTCAGTGGGCATGTGCTCTGCATCTCCACGTACACTCGCAGCCAAACATCGACATAGCAGCACCCCGTGCTGCTGGCTGGGGTGTGTGGGAGTAGCTGGAGGCTTGTGCACATGGAGAGAGAGTGTTTTGTCTGCGAGCTGTGCATGGATACACACGCAGGGTGCAGGTGAAATCAGCCCTGGACACACAAACGCACACGCAAGGACAGGTCGGAGCAAAGGAGGCTGCCGTGGGCTTGCAATTTCACACATCAGCTCGCCCAGAGCCTGCCAGGCTGCCTGCGTGTGTGTCCCCACACAGCGGGACCACGCATGAATGGTGTGGGCAAGGTGGGTGCGCGCCTGCGCCTGTGCGTGTTTATAACTATGGGAACACAAATCTGGGCATCCACGGCCCCKCGGGTGCGCGTCGGGAACGCGCTGCTCCCCGGGCACGGCGGAGCGCGGARATGCCGCGGTTCCCCCGAGCGCACCTGGCCGCAGGTGTGCGGGGCGAGGGCGGAGCGGGCAGCGCTCAGCCGTGCGCCAAAGCAGCGGATGAGCGAGCAAACAGGTGTGCTCCGCGCACCTCGGCCGGGCTGCAGGGGCGCCTGGAGCGCTGCGAGAGCTCCGGGCACAGCCCGGCGATAGCCGCAGCCCGGGCACGCCGCTGGCASGGCAGGTGAAGCTGCGCTCCGGAGCTGTGGGGTGACACACCAGGCGGGCACGGATGGCTGCGCACACGCAGGGACGGATCCGGACGGACGGCAGCCACAGAGGAGGGTGTTGCATGCCGTAAATCCGAGCCGAGGCACGGCCCTGGGCATCGCCCCCGGAGCTCCGCAGAGCCGGGGCTGTGGCACGGCGCAGCTCGCTCGGATGCGAGAGTGGCTGCGTGTGCAGGCACAGGCACGGCCGAGGCAGCCTGTGCCGGGTGCGTAGCGCAGCTCCGGGGCTCCGGCGGCTCCTGCGGGCACCATGTTCCCCGGCAAAACCCTGCGTTTGGCCATTTTCCCCCGGCTCGGGGAGGGGGACGCACACGCGCCGCAAGCGGGCTGAGGGTGGGCTCTGTCCGCAGGGTCTGCTCCACATCYCTCGGGTGAGCATCCCTCCTCCCCCCAGAACGGCACGGAGCGGGGAATAACAACAGCAGACGSCACGGGAAGCGATTTGGGGGAAGARCCCCCTCCCCTTTCCCACATCCAGATCGGTGGAGAAAACCCCAAAGAAGACAAACAAGCCCGGTGCCAGCCGCCCTGTCCCTGCAGCCTGGGATCGCAGTCCTTACCTTTGCGCACAGCAGGCGAGACAAAGAGCTGCTAAAGCAGAGACAATTCCACTCAATCTGTCTGCCTGAAATGTCCACATTTCCACAAAGACGAAGGATGAAAAAAAAAATCTTTGGAGGGGAGGGGAAAGAAAGATGGATCTTCTGAAATCCCCCTCCAAAAAAAGGGGGGGAGGGAAAAAAAAAACAACCCCCCCCCCAGTTAATGATTTCCTAGAGAAAAAGAATAATGAAAAAAAACTAAAAAATGAGGGGGAAAAATACCCCCCCACTCCTTCAGTGCCAGTCAAAGAATTCGTTTCTTCTTCCTTTCAGCATCCTCTCAACAAGAGACATCCTCTGGCAATGGAGAAAATCCCAAGAGAAAGAAAAATAAAATGCCCCAAAATGGGCTCAGCAAAATGTGAAATCGAATCTCACAGGTACGCGGCAGAAGAAAAAAAAAAAAAATAAAAAAAAAGGAAAAAAAAAGAAAAAAAAAAAAACAACTCACTGTCCCCTGAGCACTCCACTTGGATTATTTTTCCTCCTGCTCTTTTGCCATCCGTTTCTGCAGATGTTGCATGGCTCCTGCTACCCACCTTCAGAGAGGAGGAGGAGGAGAAAGAGCGTGTGTGTGTGTGTGTGTGTGTGTGTGTGCGTGTGTGTGTGTGTGAGAGAGAGAGGGAGGATGTGTGAGTTTTCGAGCAATATGATTTTATTCTGGATTTCACCTATTCGCTCCCCCTTCCTCTTTATTTTCCGAGGGGGAAGGGGAAGCCACCCCAGCCCCACTGTGCAGTTATTTTATTTTAGGGGAAATCTCAGCCTCATCACTTCGGAGCTTTCGTGAAAGGGCTGAAAAAAAAAAAAAAAAAAGGAAAAACCAATGCAGCCCAGTAAATAAAAAAATACATATATGCATGTGTAAAAAATAAATAAATCCCTGTCTGCAGAAAGAGCTGCTCTCCCAGGGAGGGCTGGATGTCTTCCTAGCGCTGTTGCCGCAGCTCCTGTGGAGTTTTGCTGCTCATTGCAAAGTCACAAGAGGAGGGGAGGAGAGAGGGAGTTTGTGGTTGGGGAGGGGGACTCTCCGGACAAATTGGGATCCTGACGTCATGGCTGACAACATTAACCCCTGCTGGCTTGCAGAGGGGATGGATGAGCATTTTTGCTGTGGTGGCTTTTTTTGGTTTGTTTTTTTTTTTCCGCGGGAGGTGGGCGCAGGGAAGATGATGGGCAAGGTGGTGACATTTTGGCAAGCGGGAGAACGTGCCGGGGCGAGAGGGGCTCGGCTGCGAGCRCYGGYKGGGGCTGAGGCTGCCTCAAACACTGTCAGCAGCACAGGCTGAGCTTCCTCCTGCAGCCACAGCAAGAGAAAATAAGGTGATTTACTGAGGATATCTCGGTGCCACACAGCAGAGTGGCCTGGTGGCCTCCTCCTGGGGCTCTGGGGAAGATCTGGAGGCTCTGGTGGGGCTGGAGCCTTCCCCGGGCTGGGGAAGCCCAGCTCAGGAGGGATGCTGGGCTCTCCCTGAGGGATGCTGTGTTATGCACACAATAGAGTTGGTGRGGAAAGGGAGCCTGAACTTGCAGAAATGCTGCTGGGGTTCAGCTCCTGGTGCTGGGGCTTTGACTGCTGGAATGGGAACAGCCACTGAAATCATCACCCGTGCACCAGGCCCTGATCTCTGCCTTAAAAAAGTAATATAATTAAGGATCTCCACATCAGGCAGGCAGTAATGTACAACCATGAAGGTTTTTTTTATTTTTTCCTAGGAAAAAGAAGAGATCCAGCAGCACTTTGGATGCAGGGCAGGAGCCATGGCTCAAGGAGGAAACACCCGAGCTCTCAGCAGCCTGATGGCATCTCCTGTGTGCCCRCCTGGCAGCTCAGAGCAGCCCCTCTGGGCAGGGAAGCTCTGCTTTGTACCCGTGTGGATGATCTCCAAAGCCCTCTGGGACAAGGGCAGGGCAGATGTGTCACTGCAGCTGGCCAGGACAAGGTCCAGAATGYCTCTGAAGGGCACAGGGCAATGTCAGAGGAGGACAGCACCTCTGTCCTGCCCTTCCCTTCCCTGCAGGGGGATGTGCCCAGCCCAGRCTGGAGGAATCCTTGTCCCTGGGGTTCCTAAGGCTCCTTTCCCTCATGCTTGGCTCGGCTCTGCATGGTTTCCTCATCAGAAGCACTCCACAGACCACGTGCTCCCAATCTCCTTTCCCCAAAAACAGGGTGGGCAGTGACCTTTCTGAAGAGCTTCCCCCTTGCAGGCCAGGCTGGGCTGTTGCACTGCAGAGAATTAAACTGAGGAATGGCTGAGTGCTGTGCTGWGCTGTCCTGTGTCACTGCAGGGAGGTCCTGGGGCAGGGAACTCGTGGGGAAAGGAAGGCTCGGGGAGGTTTGACATCTACGGTGAGCTGTGCTGGAATGGGAGGGGAAAAGATCTTCTCACCTGCTGCTGGGGCTGGTGGAAAATGTTCTCTGCTGGGTTTAGAGCCCTGACCAACCCTGCTTGTCCAAATTAATCTCAGAGCAGGGATCTCCACTGTCTTCTCAAAGACCAAAGCAGGTGAGTGTTGTTTGTCAATGCAGTGAACGTGCCTGCCCGTGCAGAGTCAGGGCTGTGTTTCCTGTGGGCTCTCACTGCACCCCACTCACTGTGGCATCCCACAGGGGCTCTGGGGTGCAGGAATTGCCCAGGACACCCAGCTGTGCCTGGGAATGTCACTGCAGCACAGCCCAGAGCCAGCCTGTGTGCCTGGGCTGCCAGCACTGCTGGCCACTGCACCTGCAGGACACTCCTGGGTTCCACACGCCCCATGCCACAAGCCAGGCATGTTTGGCACCCCCCAGGAGCTTGTGGCCCTCATTCCTGTGGCTGAGGGGCCCATGGGAGATGAGCCAAAGCAGTAGGGTTTCCCCACGATCCTGTTGCAGGAGAGGACCAGCCCAGCAGCCCTGGGATGAGCTGCCCAGTGCCACCAGGGGCTGGCTGTTGTACACCTTCACCTCCAGGTACAGCCTTTCCCTCCTCTGCTGCTCACAGCACACACAGCTCCTGCCAGCAGCGACTTTCTGAAGCATTTATTGTGAATTAAGCTGCTGGGCAGCAGGCAGGAGCTCTTGGGGAGATGAGAAGCATTTGCCTTTGGGCACCAGAGGCCCTGTTTGGCCTCGCCTGCTCCCCTTCCGCTCTGCCCCCTTTGCTCTGCTCCCTCCCACYAGCTATGATTGCATGTTACTGCCAGGAAAGGTAAGTGGAAAGAAAATGTCACAGGCATACATGAAGAGGAAAAATTATGCTCACAAATGGTGACATTTGTGCTTGCAAGTCCACCCAGTGGGGAGCAGGAACCGTGTCACATGAATTACCCGRCCACTCAGCCACAACGGGACACTTTGGGAAGCGGATTGCTTGGCACTGTGTGCTCAGAATGATCCACCTGGAGCTGTGTGTTCGGGTAAAGGGCTGCTCTGGGGGCAGTCACCCAAACCTGCTGGGTCTCACGATGCACAGTGACTGTGCTCACAGAGGGGTTTGTTCTTGCCCTCCAAGGATGGGCACCCTCAGCCCCTCCCAAACCCCAAATGCTGTGTCCCCCTCCCCTGCTGGGGGCTGTCTGCTCCCCCGTGACAGCCCAGTGAGGGGCTTTCCTCAGGTTCACATTCTCAGCCTCCCTAAGAGCTGCTGTGCTGTGGCTGTGGTCACCCTGCAGAGGCCACGGGGGATCGTGTTTGTGGCTGTTTGCTGCCCTCCACCATTCAATCACTCATTTTCACTCATTTTCACTCTTCTTCACACCATGGCCTCCCTTCTTACCCTGTGCCACTGCCAGCTCCAGGCCCCAAGCTCTGCTTTTCCCAAGGGCGTGCCCTCAAGGTGGAACATCACCCTCATCCCCTCTCCCAGCTGGCTGGAGAGCTGGTTCTTCTGTCCAGACAACAACTCCCAGCAGAGGATGGTTGTTCTTCTAAAGCACAACAACAGCGTAGAAAGAAAAATAACTTCCACTAAACCAGAATTTTATAGAAGTCCTGCAGAAAAGGAGAAGCTGTCATTTGTGTGTAGAAGGTAGAAACCAGCCTGGAAGTAAATGAAGTGCACCTCATGAGGTGGAAATAAGGACAAGCAGAGGCCAGGGGAGCTTCCCCACCTGKTTTAGAGCACAGCCTCTGTCTCCTGCTGCAGCTGCATCCAGGGCTGAGCTCACCAAGCCAGAGAGCCTTTGCAGTTCCAGTTCCAGCTTCCTGCAGGAAAGGTTTCCCTCCAGCTGTCCTGCAGGACAAAGGCTCCATCATCCACCACAGTGCCATTCAAACACCCTCAGGTGCTGGCAAGGAAAGACCCCAAATCACAGCCCAACGTCCTGATGGGGCTGACAGCCACCAGAATGACTTGGGCAGCTGTGACTCCTGTTTTGGCAAACCTGCATCCTCTAATTGACCAATCCCTCCCGATGTGTTAGCCCAGGAGCCTCTGCCTGGACACACTGTGTGCTAGGTGCTCCATATTCCTGAGGAGATGCCTCAGGGCGTATCCACGGAGTTCCCATTAAAGAGTTGAGTTAAAGATCCCTCAACCCTTTGCAAGGTAGGTCCAGAGCAAGTGGAAATGTTGGCCATTCTCAGGAGCTGTGAATGGAGGAAGTGATGAGCAGAGCTTTGCCTGGAGTCCTCAATGTCCTCTGTGCTCAGATCTCTTCAAGCAGAGCATGGAAAGCGTGGTGGGAAGGGAGAAAGGGCTGTCCCTGGAGGTGCCTTCATGCACCACCTCCCATCCCAGCCTGTCTGTAAGCTTAGCAGGCTGCAGACAATGTTCAATTTGGGCTTTCCTTCGCTGGAGAAATGGTCTGGCTGAGCAAACATCCTTTGGTGAGGAGAATGAGGAGAACAGAAGTGCCGTGATGGCTGTGGGTGCTGAGGTTCAGCTCCCAGTCCTCAATAAAAGAACATCCCTCCCATCAGCACAGCCTGCTCCTGCCKTGCACAGGCAGCCTGCAGGGTGATGGTGATGGCACCAGGACAAGCTGCTCCAGCCACACCCGAGGGGGCAGTGGGGAAGGTGAGTGGGGTGTGCAGGGCAGCCCCAGGGCTGACACAGCCCCAGCAC